GAAGTGGTAACGCGGAGGTCACGGGTTCGAATCCCGTTGAAGCCCTGATTTTTTTCAGGCTTCTTCTTTCCAATTGCTTAAATTGGAAAATTTACTGCGATGATCATTCTTCACTTTCATCTGCAACCGCAGTTCAAAATGAATTATTTCTTCACATCAGTATGTTATCAGGTGCTTTTATAGTCGACATAATCTCTCTTTTGTCTTTTCTTATGTTGCGTAGAGGGACAGAAGGCTTGTTCTTGCTACACTTTTGAAGGTGAGATGACCGACAAAATGTTGAACTGGAAAAAGGCAAATGAATCTTGTGAAGCTACAAATAAACACCTTGTTGTCATGGAGACTGAGAGAGAGTGGAGATTTATTACCGACGAAATTGGGAAGCGAGATACCAAATATAATGAGTGGCACATTGGTTTGTTCAATGCAAGTGGAAACTGGACCTGGATCAATGGTAAACCTCTAGCTTTAAGTAAATGGCAAAAAAATGATCAAGATGAACCAGGCCCTGAGGACCTTTACGGTCTCATTCATAAGAACTATCCTCTGGGTTCTTATGGGACATTCAGCAGCAACGCGGGAGTTATACGTAGAGATTATATTTGCGAGCAAGAAACAGGTAAAACTAAGTCACATTTAGGTGTACTCTAAAATGTGCTTGTTGTTGACGTGAAGTCAGTGAAATTATCCTTATTTCATTTCACCTTCAGACCAAGTGGCCTCTTGACAAACGGTCAGTGAGAGTAACGTTTAAGGGCTTGTGGTGTTCTTATTTTGTTCACTATAACTTCAAGCGCAGTAATGATAATTGCCACCCAGTTCCAAGCTGTGGTTGCTCTAAATACAGTGAAAATGATGTGTCCTTCACTACTTAATTATTTTAACCAAACATAAAGGGGTAATATGACGCTATTTGCTTAAAAAAGCTTTTTTTTCGCGTCTATTGAATTAACAATAATAATGTTAATAATAATGTTATTTATTTACTTATATAGCACTATATCCATCAAAAATAATGCCCTATAGTGCTTCCCAGAGATAAAAACCTGCCTTACAATATAGAGATGGCTTACAAATAGACTCTAACTATGTATTTAAAAAAAGGCTGGAAAAAACAAAATTTACACCCAATGTTATTAGAGCTAGAAAAGGCTAAAAAAATACAGGTATTCAAAAATTATTAAAAATTAAATCTAAAACTACAACCTAGAGCTGAAAATGGGCTAAAAAAAGGGAAAAATTTACAGCTGTTTAAAAATATAATTAAAATCTAAATCTAAAAGTACTAAAACAGAACGTATGTACCTAATTCCAAAATTAATGTTTCAGTTTTGTTTTGCAAGATTATATTTAGGCCATTCAAACAGAACGCTAAGCAGAAATCTTTAATAACATATGACCAATTTACATTCCACTATCATAGACTAAAATTTTGATGAAAGAAAGATATTAAAAAGATCCTAAAATAATAATTTACAAGCTCACGCCATTATCACCTTCTAAAATTAGCGGACGCACGCTTGGCTAACGTTTAAGCGGCAGTCATCAATGAAATCCCCTTGTGGAATTTTATGGAAGGGTGTCCTGGAACCTCTTACGCATTTGTGTACCGACCTTAAAATCTCAATGTGATAATTAAGGTTCCTCATTCTTTTCTGAGAGCTTCTCGGCTAGGCGGTTGAGAAAGCAGTTGCAGTCAGCTCCCATCCCACCGTTGGTTCCAAAACTAGGGGAGTGAAAGATCCCATTTCAACGTTCAGCACCCTCTGTTGGTACTTCCGCTTTTTCTCCTCCTCCTGCTCCTTAAAGATTGTGGATGTTCCTTTTCCCTGGTTACACTTGGAGTTAATTAACATGCGTTACTCTGACATCAAAAAATGCTTTAACTCCTCGAGACCAAAAGCCCCCTGCCTTCAAGTCCAGTCTTGCCTCCGGGCTTGTTACCTCGCTTCTGAGGTTGAATCGCTCATTATCGAGAGGTTGTAGTTTTGGTTCGACTTCAACGTTGGTGCAAACCTTACCAATAAGTGAGATAAGTAGGTTACGAACACCATCGTGTCTCTGCGCCACGACCCCTCCCTTTTTGCATGACAGGGCGTGGCAGTGGGCATACTTCTCGCCACAAACACACTTGCATGGTAATTCGGACAAGAACATATTATACCTTAAACGGAGAGCGTATCGGAATTCTTGTTTATTCAGCACTAAACCTTGAACGACAAGAGGCACTGCGGTAAGGCATGAGCTCGCACCCTTGTCTCACGATCGATTGCTTAACTAACCGCAGCAGATCCGAGGGTAGAGTGGAATCAATACTTTCCATTCTCGATTTCACCGACGCAGTTTTCAAGGCTTGATGTTGTCGTTGTAACTCCTCCGTGGAATTCTCGCCTGCCACCATGAACATGCTCTGTGTGGTAACAGAATCTACATGCGGAGCTGTTATTGACGTACTTAGAAGCAGCAAACTGCAGTGGACCTTACCGTAAGTCGGGTGCGCCTAGCCCTCCTTGAGCGGGTGTCAACGTGACGAGCTGACGCAGTTCACTAGGGAGGGGCTCCGCTTGACCGAATAATGTTGGGAGAAGTAAGTCGTCGATCGCCTCTTGGATAGGGTCAACGTAATCTTCAAACGACTCTATTGTGCGCACGAAATCTGAAAACTTGGATTTGTAACCCTTCATTTAAACTGTTTCCAGTCGTCTTTTGCAGCGGATGGCAAGGAAGGACATGGATTTAAACCTTTTTTAGTACTTTGCCTGCAACAATCACCAAAAAAGTTAATATGGTAATACTAATAACAATAATAATAATGATAATAATAATAATAATTAATTAATTAATAATAACAAGAAGGAAAGAAGCTGAACAATAAAAGACATCGCTTGCCTATTTGACCATCGAGTTAGTCTTAAAGAACAGGAAAAAATCGAAAATTAATAAAACACTTAAAAAGAGAGCTGAAGCGTCTGTGGAATAAAAAAGTTGTGCTTGTACCGATCATCACTGGTGCCCTAGAAACAGTCAGTAAAAGATTCCATCTTTATCTAAAGAAAGCAGGACTCGACGGAAGTATTCTGCCAGGCAAAAAGCTTGTTTATTGGGAACAGCAAGAATTATGAGAGGGTCTCAATGGAGTGGTGGCTTTTACGGTTATCGGATAACGTTTTGGCTCTTTTACAGCTATCGGTTAATTTTTTTCAGTTACGGTTGACAAAAAGTTAAAAATTGATTTCTTTTGTTTCAAAGAGTAAAATATTAATAAACCAGTATTTTTGGTATCTTCAAAGCAAAATAAAGGTCTTAGGATCATCTCGGGATAAAATGAAGTTATTCTTTTGAAATTTTTAATAACTTTTGATAGATCATACTATTTATAAAGTATTCCATTTTTAATATAATTTTACGCATAGAAATGTCATTAGTCAATTTAAAAATAATGTTTGTGAAAAAGCAAAAGCAGACACGCGAACGCCCAACTCCAGGCGGGGGGCGGCGTTCATTATAACAGAAATGGCCGTTTTCACACTAGAGACGGATTATTCGTGTGAGATGGGTTATCTGTTTGATAATTCGCGTCAGATAGGTAATACGTCTTAATTTGAAATGTAAAGGGTTTTAATTTTGAATGAGCAATCCGCCTGACTTTATCCGTTAATTTTGACGGACAGTTTGAAGATGGATTATCCGTTTCAAAAAGCCTGTGTACAGCCGCCCCCTCCCCTCAGAAAAAAAATCGGAGAAGGGGTGTCGGTGGGGAGGGGGCGACTGTGGACAGGCCAGTCTCAGACGGATAATCCATTTCTAGTTCTAGTTTGAAAACGACCAATAACAAAATTCCCGTGTCCAATGTTTTCAATGATAGCGAAGGACTGTACAGAAAGACTGTCTGCCGTTGCCTTGTCCATAGGCCTCATTATTCCGCGCGGCTAACGCGTTTCGGGTCACCTGGTCCGAGCGAGTTTTTTTTCTCAGATACGCCACCGAAATGCCTTCACCGAGATTGCGTGGGAAGACGCCGAACAGGGACGAGGCATGGCAATGTCTACGTTAGCGTCAGAGAAAAACAGGGAATTGTTGTTTATCGGCTGCGTGTTTTACAAACAGTGACATCTCTAGGTGTTATTTTACTAGTATTTCGACGGAACGACCTCCTGAAAATCGCAAATTTTAATCCCCAGCAAGAAGCGAGATTTTCACTATGGAAAAAATTAGTTCCCCGAGAGAGCGGCGGAAATGGAGTTTAGGTCTAGGTCACAACTAAAAGGCGCTTGGCCTAACGTGCGTACGGAGTCAAAATAGCCAGGAAATAAATAACGCAACCATAAGTGAGTTTAGCAGATGCACCTTCCTTAAAATTAACAAAGCTAGGGAACAATTTCTTTTACGGTTAACTCTTTTTTACCCTATTTACGCCTAACGGTTAAAATTTTTCAATCTTTACGGCTATCGACCAAATTTTTGGCCGTTTTACGCCTGTCAGTTAACCCCATTAAGACCCTCTTATAAGAAAGGTGATGGATACCTAAGGTGACGGGAGGTCACCTGGTACCAGGGAATGATCCGGTTGGACGACCAAGAAAACCTTGTGAACTGACAATATATACTATAGTAATAGTTCTCATTACGCATTTCGCATGCGCCTTAGTACGTTTACAAAAGTGTTACTAGTATTGATATTAAAAATAGCTACGTTGTAGGTACAAGTATTTTTCTATGTGTATTTAAAAAATAATAATAATAATACTTCTTCTGTGGTTTATAACAGGCAACTAACAAAATGCTTGTTTGAACAGGAAAGTTTTTAAATTAGACTTAATAAAATCTGAGTTTGGGATATGTCTTGGTAGTTGATTTCACAACCGTGGTGCGTCAATTAAAAAGTCTGTCTCTATAAATATGTAGTAAGATTAGATCTAGGCAAGATCTAGGCATAACTTTTGTTAGTGCTGTTTGTGTATGGGCCAAAGGCACTAACTAATAACCTCTGCACACAATTGACCTAAAGCGTGTTCACTGTATGCAGCTATACCTTTGTGACTCGCCCGTTTAACTTTATTGGCTAACGTCTTTGCATAAAGGTGGTCGTAGCGGCCAGCCGCTTAATCGCTTAATTGAGAGGATGCTGCTTGATCAGAGCTCACTTTAAAAGTCTGGAAGACATTTGGTCCTTATGTTGTTGTTGTTTTAATTGACTTTATTTTTCCCTTACAGATAACTGTAAAGGAAACAAAGCTGACAATAAATCTGTCTGTTTGAGACGATTATCGTTGCAAGTTTTATTCAAGACTAAGTTCCCGTATAAGTTATGTTTTGAAATTTACGTATGAAAATATCAAACGCTTTTTGTAGCCGTCGTAATACACTCTCGCCGTCAGTAAACTGTGCCTGTTCAAAATACCATCGTCGTCCTTCACCGTTTCCGGGAAAACAATTAAAAGCTATTTCTACGGCACAGATCTGAAAAATAAAAACGGTTCCTTGCATCCTTACGGTGGCCTACATGTTAAACATAAACTTGTTTTCGAGAAAACCTGGCAAAAGTGTTGACCAATCATAGCGTGCCATTTACAAAAGTACGATTTCAAAATAAAAACAAACGACCGCGTTGCATCAAGGTTGGCAATGGGCCTTTAATTAACTTTATTTTT